CACACACACACAAAAGAAAAAAACAAAAACAACCCTTCCCCCCCTCCCCCAAACCAACCAAATAAGCTGGCCCATCCTTGTAATACCAGCTAAGCTGAAGGCAGAGGTAAAAGGATCATAGCCTGGGCAAAAGCATAGGACCCTAGGACCCTATAGAGAGATGACTAAAGCACAGAGAGCTGAACTCACGGCTCAAAGCTCTGTATTCAAACCTTAGTCTCAGAAAACAAAAAACATATAACAAGACATACCAAAAATAACCCATTAATAAAATAATTAAATTTCAGAGTTGAGTTGTGCCTCAAGTGCCTGCCTAGCAAGCAAGTGACCCTGAGCTCAAACCCCAATAATGCTCAAACAAAGAATCCACTGCTGACACAAGAGCACCAACTGAGTAAGCAAAATAAGTGAGCACAGGCCCTGAATTCAAGTCTTGCTACTAGGAAAGAAAAGGAGGGAAGGAAGAAAAGGAAAGAGAAAGAGAAAGAGGAGAGAGGCCACATATGGAAATATGTTGTAAATAGTTCAGGGTCTATGACAGACAGTGTAGGATATTCAGAGGTTGCTGATAATCTAAATTAAACTGACCTCTTTTTTGTTCTGGAACTGGGATTTGAACTCCATGCCTTGCTTCTTGAGCCATACACTTCCAGTCCAGATTTTTGCTAATGATTTTAGAGATGTAGTCTCTCAGACTTTTCTGCCAGGGCTGGCTTCTGATCACTTCCTGAGTACAGTGCCATCCTGTTTTATTTCTTGTAAGCTGCAAGTTAAATATCCAGGCTTGCTAGATTCAGATTAAACTTATTTGCCTAGAATAAATTACTAGTGATGTATGTGTACTTGCTTTCTATAGATATAATGTGTTGACAGATATCATCCATTATAACTTGTAACAGGTATGTGCAATATGTATCTCTGCATGCAGTGCTGAGAGTTGAACCTAGGGCATTATACATGCTAGGCAAGGGCTATACCACTGAATCACACTTCCTCTTTATTATTGTATTGTAAAATGTATTTATCATTTGGATAAGTAGTTCTCAGTTATTACCAATTTTAATATCTTAATAATTGTTTTAGTTTGTATTCTTCTGAGTAATTATTTGACTTTGAAAGGTGATGTGAGACTTGGGGATGTGGGACTTGTTTAGCACATATGAGGCCCTGTGTTTGATTCTCAGCATCACAAAAAGTCACGACGAGATAAGAGTGGAACAAATGGAGCACTGTCATTGGAATTTGCTTTATTCTTTTAATTCTGGGTCACAAGCTTTAATTGGTCTGATCTTCTTGAGACTATGGCATTCACCCTGAAGTTGTAACACTTTTAATTTCTGTGTGGAAGGTAGAGCTTGGTGTGTGTGCAACAGATGAATCAGTGAGCACTCTCAGGAAGCCTTCTGTAAAATGTCCAGGGAAGCTGTGAGATCGCAGCATAGGGTCCCATAGCTCCTTGGTTGAGCTTTCTGGCTTTGGACCCTCCCCACCCACCTAAGCTCAGCAAGACTGGTCCTGCTATTCAGTATAAAAACAGGAATTTTTCTTCTCCTTAATGATTAATACCCAGTAGCTAGAAGAATGGACTTAGCATAAAATATTCATTTAAAAATTCTGTGGTAGTTTGGGTTAAAGACATTAATAATATGGAAGTGCAAAATTTGGCGAGGCATTTATTTTTTGGATGGGAAACTTACACTCTAAACTTTTTTTTTTTTCCCATTTAGAGAATGTCTTTCTATTCTTCACGTAATTCAGAAGAACAAGCATGAGCAGGAATTCTTCTATGAGTTTGAAGGAGGTGTCAAGCTTGGAACAGGGGCCTTTAATTTGGTAAGGACATAATTATACAAAATCAGAACGCTTTGTAAGAGACCCAAGGTTTCCACTACCTCCTCGACTGCATTCCAGTCCTATCTTGGCCATTTGGCCACTGAGTTTGGCTGGGATGGACTTGTTTTCTTGTGGTGTGACCTAGAGCTGGCTTTGGTTAGTATGTACTGTTATATTTCTACAGCTTAAAGGTAACTTTGGTAAGAGCAAGGTAAGAGAAACATATAGTGTTCTAAATGGACTATTATTAAAGTGTTTTTTTTTGTGTGTGTGTGTGTGTGTGTGTATGCGCGCGCATGTACGTGTGCGTGCGTGTGCATGCGCCTATGGCAGTCCTGGGGCTTGAACTCAGGGCCTAGGCCCTGTACCTGCACTTCTTTTGCTCAAGGCTAGTGCTCTGCCACTTGAGCCAAAGCTCCACTTCTGGCTTTTTTGGTGATTAATTGGAGATAAAAGACTTACAGGGGCTGGGAAGGTGGCTCAGTGGTAGAGCACTTGCCTTGCATGCATGAGGCCCTGGGTTCGGTTCCTCAGCACCACATAAGCAAAAAGAAAAAAGCCAGAAGTGGCGCTGTGGCTCAAGTGGTAGAGGGCTAGCCTTGAGCTGAAGAGCTGAGGGACA